CTCGGGAATGGCTTGCTAATTAGATGATTAATTGGATCAGGCGAGTTAGCGCCTCAATACCAATCACCAAAATGTACAGACCAAAATATCTGTTGGGAAACATTGGCCTACACAATGTATAAGGGTTGAACAAAATAACAATGACTTATTTCTTGATTTAATACTTTGTGCAGCCTCCCTTTGCAAAGATAACAGCTCTGAGATGAGCTGTTTTCTCTGCACTTTCTCATAGTGATGGATGGCTGAGGGAATTCAGCCTGTGTTTCATTTCATAAATATTCCCAGTAAATCAGGAAATCGTGGCTGACCATTTAAGCGTTCTTAATCACTCAGGTGAAATTTTTTTAGGGGTGCCAACAATTGTGGCACACATATTTAAAAAAAAAGATTTATTTCATGACAAGATTTTTTTTTTTTTTTCTTTCAATCATTATTATATAAATAAAGGGTAGATTTTTGCTAATATTTTGAATGAAAGCTCAAAATGCTAAGTAATTAATAATATTTTTTACAGCTCATTTTGCTCATGATAACCAGGGGTGCCAATACTTGTGGAGGGCGCTGTATATGAGATTCAAACTAGTCCTGTCATTTGTTGCAAATCTAGACCAAACAACCACTTCTCCAAGTCCATACACATATGTGTACCTTAACTGGATCCAGCAATTGTCCTAATAATGTGTCTGCAGTACAAGGAAGCAGGTGATGGAAACCACAATATTTAAAAGAGTTCCCTTCACATGGCTGAGGGTCACATGACCTCTTTGAAAAAGCTTTGTGTTTGTCAAAACTCCAGGATATCCTCAAGCTGCCATTTGTGATTTTCTTTTTCTTTTTTTTAGGATTTATATTAAGCGCCAGAATTTGTTTCCTTACTGTGGGGATTTCCGTATTTACTGACGTGCGGAATGCTTTGTTGAACATTCGCTTGAACCAAGCTCCATTTACACCCTCCATTTACAGGAGGTTTACATTTTATGTGGTCATATGTCTCTAGATTACAAGTTACATGGGCCAACGTCTGACTTAAACCCTCATGGTGGAAAACTACAAGTCAACACATCAAAATATAGGGCTGCGTTATGGCTCCCCAAAAAGCCATCTGGTCTAAAACAAATGACGGTCCACTGTCATCTAGCTGTCACATTGCATTATGCAGAATTGCTCATGCTTAAAACCAGAGAAGTAAAATTAGCATTTTTCTTTTTAATAGATTTCACATGATTTTCTTTTCTTTTTGTGGATTTGAGGCAAGATGAAAGAGAGTCTTGTGCCAGTAAATGCTTTCTCTGAACATGGCACAAGACAGCTGGGCTCTGCTGTCAGTTTGTTAGTGTACAGTCACTACTCTCGAGTTAATTCTACACGACAGCTGCAGAATCCTTATCAAAGGTCATTCAAATAAGGTGTTGGTCTCTTATCTTGCCCTAGAAACCTTTTCATCTCATGTTAGAATGAGTTTCAAGTATTAGAAAAGACACTAGTAGGGACAGGCATATTAGTCATTGTTAATTAAATTTGTAAGATATTCAAAAAATATTATTATTATTATTTACTTATTTATTATTATTATTATTATTATTATTATTATTATTTTACAGGGTACCACATGCTGGACGTATTAGGTGGACAAAATGCAGCTCAGGAATTTACTATTACTGTACTATAACAAATCCAGACCACAAATCTGTTGTAAATGATGTGCTTCATCTTTAAGACAAACAGAAATGCTGATCAACAGTTTTCACTTCAGCTGACATTATTAGCCTAGTGACATTGTGTTTTACCTCATACCTTTTAGCTGGAAACAGTCGGTTTGTGAAGAGTGAGCTGTTACCAAATGTGATAAATTGCCAATGATTTAAAGTATCATTACATTAAAAGTGTACGAGTAGAGTGTAAAATGAACTTGAGCTTCTTGTTTATTGGTGCTTCCCATGTGCTGTTGTTGCTTTTTGTACTCTCTGGTACTCCAGAGACCCTCCAGTGTGCTGTTTCCTTTAGCTTCCTTTAGTTTTTCCTTTAGTTTTGGCCTAAAAAATTTGAACCAGTGACCAAATCTTAAGATGCAGTCTCTTCACTGCCCTATAGTGAAGTATATAGACATCTCATCGTTGTTCAACATGAGAACGTATAACATCATAAAAACTAATAAAAATTGCATTTAAAAAGTGTTTTTAAATGAAGTATAAAAAATCTTTTTGGAAGTATCCAGATACGTGTGGATGAGGCAGCAGTTACACAGACTACCTCACAGGCTTAGGGATTAGCCAGTGATAGCGGCTGAGCATGTCGGAGTGAACATATGGTGGTAGGTTACAGAGCAGGCCTAGGTGGTGGATTAAACCCTGCTGGAGCCAAAGAGCTGAGGTCAGGTATGAACTCAACCCTGTTTATGTACTTCATATGTGGCTGAGAGTAGGTGTGGTTTAAGAGGAGGTTTGAGTAGCAAAGACGAAAGGAGGAGGGGCCTAACAGTAAGCCAGTAGGAGAATGGGCTGGATTAAAAGAGAAGGCAGAGCTTAGACTACTCCAGTGGACAATTTGCTGTCTGTCTGTCATGAGGTCACCAAGAAGATGGGATTAAATATTGGCTTTTCTACTAAGGGGTCACAAAAGGGTGATTGCGGAGGGGCCAGAATCTGAGTGGTTCCTCTTGCTTTTCTTGTTTATCTGGTTTGAACAGCTGCTCCCTGTGTGTGCTTGTGTTGTGTGTTTGTGTGATGCAGTGTGTAAATAAATAAATAACCAACTAGATGAAACGTCAAACCCTCAAGGATTAGAGCGGCTTTTGCTCGCAGCGTAGTTTGCATTCTACTCCATCTTAGCTAAATTGTATTTGTGTGTGAAAGGAAAACAAAAAGAATTTGTCTGTGGGACAGTAATAAAAAACAAGTCCATTAAGAAGCAGACAACTGTAACCACTGCCTCAGCTCTTTTCACTATCCGCACACCGTCCCCTTTTACAATGGCAAGCATTCAAGTACAGTGCAGTTTCCTCCCCTAGCAGCTCCATCCACACTGCCTGTGTTTACAAGATTTTTTGCCAATCTCATTGAGATCAGTCCAGTTATATGCGCACTCTACTCAACAATCTGTTGAAAATATCAGTTTACATGTGTAATCAGATCCAAAACTACGCACATGCTTGGAGTACCACTTGGAGCTATTAGTCTGATTATTAATGGATTATCAGGCTGCATATAAATATGGCTACCATTGTGTAGCCAAAGGTAATTGTTCCACCAAAAGTATAAACTGATATTTTTGAGTGTATTGCCTTGATTTTGTTTGATTTGTTGCTGTAGTGATAAATAATGAAAGCTGAAATCTAAATGGTTGAGATTTCCCGGTGCGTTATTAGCACCCCGTCCCAAACCGTGTACTAGCAAACTAAATATTTTGTAAAATAGTGCATATAATATTAGAAGTGCACTCATTAGTGTAGCAGATAAAGTGTGTGGTTTGGGACGTGGCATTAGATCAGCCATTGAGATGCATTCAACAGTTGCTGTGCTGCTCATTAGCTGCCCAGTAAACATTTCCAAGCAAAAGTTTAAGTTTTGTGTTGATTAAAGGTGCATTTATTGGGGTAAATTAATGCATTTATTGGGGTAAGCTGATGTTGGTCTTTCTATGCAATATCATCACAGACCTAGGAGGCAGAAAGCAACACAAAGCAGCACTCTTACTAACATCCATACTAACATTGCTGATGCAGTGTATCATACGACTAAGCAGCTTTTTGCCTTCACTTGATTCCTTGCTAACAGGATTGGGTGGTATAACAGTTAGAAGGTATACTTAAAAATAATGCCGATATTTAAAATTATGCTGGCCTTTCAAAATTATGATGTCAAATTGCTGTTCCACGTCTCTAAAGCCAAATAAACACTTTCCACACATTTGTGTTTTAGAGGGCCTCAGTGATCGGTGATGTGCAATATGTTGCAATAGGTGTTGCTGATAAAAAGAAGGGAAAAAGCAGAGGCAGGTAAAACCATAGAAAAACTAAGCATGGTAGTAGCTTAATGAGGGCTAAGAGCCCAAAAAACACAGGACATGGTTGATTTTAGCTTTTACTTTAACACTAGTTGCTCGAATTTGCGCTCTCAGATATCCTCTAAACAGGTGTTGTTTGAGCATCAGTTAGCTAGAGCCAAGACTGTGCTGTGATGTGTGGCATGTTTGGCCTGCTGACTAAACCATTTTTTTTAGCTTGGCCAAATCGCCACAGTCCCAAACACCACAAAACAGGTTTACGTTTCGCTTTCAGTCATGCCAACACAAATACTAAGCTGTTTTTTTCTAACAGGAATATTAGGTTTTATCATGGACACCTGTTTCAGTAGAACACCAGTTAGACAGAATCTAACCTGTGCTGTGGTGTGTGGTACTGTTTGGGCCTGCTATCTAAGCTAACATTAAGTTAGCCAAACAGGCTACAGATCCAAACACAATAGAACAGGTTTGATTTTGCCCCATGAAGTAAAATGATGAAGCCCTTAAAATAAGTGATGTGATGAATTGAAAGACACTAGAGATGCTGCCACCATCGTAACATAAAGAAATACGAAAAAGGAAATAGTAACGAAATATTAACCATTAAAATGTGAGTTAAATGTAGATTCTTTTGTACACAAATATACAGTTGTTTGCACAAGTTTGAACACCCCTGGCTAAATTGCATGCTTTGTTGATTTAAGTGAAAAGCAAAAATAAGTGGACATATACACTACGGAGAACAAACTTAAATATGGTACTTGTCTGCAAATGTTCGTGCACAATTTCCGTTTATTTGCCGAGTTAAAATATTGGAGAAAATACAAAATAAAAAATTTAACTTTTGCACAGTTCACAATTTGTTTTATTTTTATCACAGTATGTTCAGTTTAACAAAGAAATATTTATTTTCTTTTTTTGTATTTGTTGGAGTTTATATTATAATGAAATTGTATGTCTTGTTATTAAAAGATTGTGATTGTTTCTGTGAATTTCAGAGAGCGCAGTCGGGATCGACACAAGTCCCGCAGCAAGGACAGCAGCCGCTCAGAGAAATCTGTCACTATTAACGCTCCACCTGCAGAGCCCTTGTTAGGAGACCAGTCGATTCGCGGAGACGAGATGCAGGTGAGATACATCACTATGGGTCTCTACCTTATCATATAATACTGCAGCTATATGTTACATGCTGTATATGATGGCTATTTATTGCACCAAAATGGACCTAGCTAGGTGAGCTTTTAGTTTAGCCCTCATGTACGAGCTTCTTGGTACACTTGTACACTCATGTATACATATAATGACAAATTGAATTGTCAGAACTAACTGAACTGAGCTGAATGGTGAATATCAATAAATGCTACTGTAGGGGTCCAAGCACCACCAACAACCAGCTTAAGAATGTAATTTTCTAAAACCAAAATTAGGTATCCAGCCTGGGATAATCAGGGTGTACAGTATAGTGTGAATCAGGGACCACCCTTAATCTATTTAAATTCTAGTGAAAACAGCTATGTTTGTACAGCTAAGTACAAGTTATTCAGTTTTTCAGTGTCAGGGAAAAAAGGAGAAAACCAAAACAGAAAATTACAGTCAACAACTGAATATAATACCAGATTTTTCAGTATTTATTGTGTCCACCTTTTACCCTTTTTTCACCTTTTGCAGGATTTTTTGTCCACACCTCCAAAGTTCAGTCTTAGAAGTTTGCTACATTTTCTGCTTCTCATGATCCAAGTAATCCTGAACATATTTAGTGATGTTGAGGTCTGGACTCTGGGGTGGTCAGTCTATTCTGAGAACATCAGCAGCTTCTTTATTCTATTTTATGTCTGTGTCCTTTTATCAGTAACGTATTCTTGTCAGCTACACATCCTTTCAGACTCATAGTGTTGAGTTCTCTTCTCACAGTGGAAGGATGGACAGAAGCATTGATTTTCGAATTTTAAAGATGAGAACTTTAAGTACTATTTATGTGATGGTAACCGTTTTAAAGGTCTACCAGGTCTTGCATGGTTGTTAGGAGTCTCTTTTTTTTCTACATCATTACATATTTATTTGAAGACCAGTTTTGGAAACTCCTTTTATGACACTTATTTTCCTTTGACTTTCTCTTTCCTTTTGCAAGTGGATTATTTTATATTTATATTTTATATAATCTCTTCAGAAATATCTCCTGAAAAATAAGTGAAGGGCGGTCTCTGACTTTAGAACAATAGTGTAGATCATTCCTTCTAAGACCCACCCAAGACAGGAGGGGTCAAGAATAAGTGGAACACATACAGCAGCCAAAGAGTTAAGTCAACTTTGTTCTGTTTTGTTGGGACTGCTTTGCTTATATAATTATTGTGGAGCATTCCGGGAAGATAGTGGTGATGACATCACAGTTATCACATCTCTCTCTCTCTCTCTCTGTCTCTCTCTCTCTGTCTTTCTGTCTCTCTCTCTCTCTCTGACCTACTTGGCTGCTGTGGACGCTCAGCAAGTCTCTGCTTGAGAGTTCAAGTTTGTGCTGAAGTTAGTGACAGGCACAGGGGCTTCTGTAATATTAATGTGTTTAGCTTTTCCCTCTTGCTGAACATTTTAGGTTCCTCTCAGGGTTATTTTTGTCACTGAGTGATGTTTGAATGCTAATCATCTTTTGGATTGTAAATGTATTATGCAAGTATACATTCTGTATTAGAGATGAAACAGTGCCACTTTATCTTTTCCGATACTAACACCAATATTGAAACCTGGAGTATGGCAGTGGTATTAGTGCTGCTTTTTTACTGGTGTTTTTTTACTGCCTGAGTATGTAAACTTGGAATAATCACAGTTTGAGAATCTAAACCAGGATTAATCACATTCAGAGTATCTAAACCTGAATTAATCACATTCGGAGTATCTAAACCTGTATTAACCACGGCCTGAGTATCTAAAGCTAGATTAATCACATTCTGAGTATCTGAACCTGGATTACTCACAATCTGAGTATTTAAACCTGGATTAATCATAGTCTGAGTATTTAAACCTAGATTAATCACAGCCTAAATATCTAAACTAGGAGTAATCACATTCTGAGTATCTATCTTTTTGAGGCATGATTAACCAGTTTTTTTTTTCACCTCACTCGAGCATCTTGGACAACATGGTGAAACAGTAATAACCCAGTTGTTAGGGAGCCCTGAAGGTGGCAGCAGGGCTCTAAGCATCTTATTAGGTAGAGCCAGCACTGCTTAATATGAACCTGTGCCTTTTCAGGCTAGATTTGTTACAGAGTGGATCAGATTCATTCTTTTTTTTTCCCGATATTCGATTCAGGATTTTCTGCTGAAATCAGCCGATTGATACTAATATGTCGTCTTTATTCTGTATTGTGCCTCTTATAGTGTAAATTAGTATTTAAATTGACAGAACAGAAGTGTCTCTGACCCCAGTAAAGCTTACTATAAAGAAAGTGCCGTGAATGACACATTCACTCTTACTGAGTGGTGGAGGATGCAGGTATGTTCAGCATGTTCTGCTTGATATGGTGCTGTATGAATTCAGAGGTCAGAAACAACTCTTCTTTTTTTTTATTGAATTCCCAGTCAAAACAGCCATTAAATGCAAGTTATTAATTTTTCAGGAGGTGTTTCTGAGGACATAAAATAATCCACGTGCTGAAGGAGAGAGGAGAAAATTGAGCTCCACTCTTGTTTCAGATCTGAAAAAATCCACAGGTGTTTCTGTCCATCCTTCCACTGAGAGAACACAACTCAACACTAAGAGTCTGAAAGGCTGTGTAGCTGTCAAGAAGCTGTTACTGATGAAAGGAAACAGACAAAAAGAAGAGCATTTGCAAATCTGGTGTTCTCTGAATAGGCTGACCACCCCAGAGTCCAGACCTCAACATCAATGAATATGTTTGGGATTGTTTGCATCATAAGAATGTAAACACATGTGTAAATGTGTAAACACATGCATCTCGAGAAGCAGAAAGCAACAAATCTCCCAAAAAAGAATGGAAGGCTGGACACAATACGTACTGAAAATACTGAAAAATTTATATCATAATAAGTAGTTGAGGCTTTTGTGCACATAATGGGTGGTCTCAGACTTTTGCGCAATACTGTATATGCTGTTAAATAAATAGTGCACAGGTATGCCGTAGGGTGTGGGTGTGTGCGTTGTGTATGCGTGGCTGTAGTTTGTGTGTAGGCTGTGTGTCATTGACAGATGATTGTAGATGCCCTTAATCTTTATGTACTCGACCCAGTACTCAGTGCACTCGTGCGTGTGTGTGTGCTGTGGGGTTTCCCTGAGGAGTCTGGCTGTGCTGTGTTTGCACACAGGAGTACAGTGTGTGTCTGAACGCAGCTGTGGAGCTCCTGCCTGGGACTCGCTCCAAAACCCAAGGCCAATGCTAACGTGCTAACGCTTTAAGTCTGTCTCCTATAAGGATCAAGTGTGTCGTGCCTCTTGATACTATGTCACTGACACTCTATCAACACTCGGTTTGAAGAAACCTTTAACCCTTTGAAGTCTAGAGTGATCAATGCCACTTTACTGAGCTGCTTAAATTCAGTTACATAATTGGATATTAAATGTCATAGTTCAGTGGTGAATTACATTTAAATTCCATTTACATGCACTTCTGACTTTTTTTCCTGGACATATAATTGTTTTTATATGTGAAATAGGTTTAAAAAAACGTATTTTCGTTCCAAATTGCGTTCCAAACACTAAAATACATTAAGCAAAAATACATTTTTTGGCCATTTTCATACATTTTCAAACTTATATGATTTAATATTCTTTACATGTATTTCTTTTCAAATCAAAGTCAGCTTTATTGATTTTTTCCATCACAGATGTGTTGAGAGGTATGAAATGTAGTCTCTCCAAGACACAGTGTTACATTTAACAAAGAATAACAGTGAACAGACAAAGACAGACTATACAAACACTATACAATAAAATCTTCTGTAGAATATACAGTATCTATACAACTATTAAGACAGGACAGTAGAGATAATAGACCAGCTGTTGGTCCACAGCAGCAGTAATAGTTGTGGGTGTGTTTTGTGGACTGATGGACTGATAATAAACAATAACAATAGTACTTTAATAACACAACCACAAAGGTGAATGACTTTGCAGACAATGTACACTTGAAAGTGACTGTGCATATGAAGTACGTGAGGTTAAAGGTTCACATTAAAGTGGCTGAGTGCAGGAAGTGGAGTGCAACAGATGGAAGTTTCTGTATGGACTGTAAATAGTATCATTTCTCTTTTGTTAGGGTCCTAAAAAGTATTAAATAGCATTGATTTGATTTTAAAATTGTGCAGCAACATGGCAAAAGACTATATACACAACAATGACTTCATCAATGTTAAATCATAAAATATTTCCTCTTTTATTTACATCCTCAAGTGTGGTGTTGTGTAAGTCCACACTTTCCACAGAATCACAAATAAGAAATGATTCATATAAAATTATACCATGCTTTAGTTGTTAAGATGTACATGAAGTCATTCAGAGTGGTTTGGTGTGAAATGCTTAATTTTACAGAAACTTACTGAGTCAGAATTGTTCACAGTGAAGTGATAGGAACCAGACGTCTGAAGAGTTTAATGCTTCTAAAGCTAACAGCAAGTTAGTATATAAAACAATTCTAAACATGTTACCTGGTGCCTGAAACATTGTCTTACAATAGTCTTGCAAAAAAGCTTTTGGCCTAAAATGTACTTTTTAAAATCCGTTAATGATGGAGAGGTCTATGCAGGGTGTTGTAAGGCAAAATAGTACCCAAAGAATTTTTTTTTTTAATTGACCACTGTTTTACTCTTATTAACGTTACAAATAAAACTCAGAAGACACGTGTAGGGTTAACAGGTCATGTGGTATAAACATTGCAACCCCTGGTTCCTGTCACCACTGTTATTACCTGCAATTAACCCATTTCTCATCAGTCCACTCTGTATGATTTTGTTTACATCTCAACAATTGAGCAAGATTTTTTCAAAAATCAGTGGAATTAATATGTATATGCTTTATCTACTGGTGGACGAATGGATGCCACCTTTTCCCCTTTGTTTGTGGAATTAAGTTTCGAAGTGCTTGCCCTGTATCAGTGTAAAAAGGTCAAGTTTTGCAGGGTG